GGCGGCGGTGCGTCTGGGGGTTGGCGGCACCTGGAGCGGCTGTACGCGCAGAAGTCGCGCATCCAGGACGAGTTGAGCCGTGGGGGTGCGAGCGGCGGCGGGGCCCGGGGCGCGGCACTGCCCCCCAAGCCTCCCAACCTGGACGCTGCGCTGGCCCTACTCCGCAAAGAGATGGTAAGGGGATTCTGCGGCTGGGGGCGGGGGTTCTTCCCGTCCGCGTTCCGGGTCGGGAAAGTTCGCTGGAACCCGCGTTCTGCTCCGGAAGTCTCCGCGCCTACCCGCCCCTTTCTGACTTTTTCGCGGCGCGGGAAGGGCGGCTCTTCCCCCATTTCACTTGTCCTCTTTGTGTCCACGATTGGACTCCCACCCAGGGAGTGGTCCCCGCTCTCCAAAGGCAGCTTTGGGAGACCCAGCGCCCCAGTTCAGCCCCAGCTGGCGGCTGGAGGTGCGCCGCGGTGTTTGCGCTTGATCTCGGGGAGGGGGCGGCTTTGTCACACATCTCCAGCGTGAAACAGACCTCCCAGTCAGGGAAAGGCTATCTCCGAGCCCAACGGGTGAGAAGCTGTGTGCGATTGTTTCCCTGCCCCAAGAGGACGGCATTTCGTCCCCGCCAGCACAGGCGGCAGATTGGAACAACCTTCGTCCCCCTCCCCCGCGCCCTAGGCGGCGAGTGCAGAATCCGATTACAACCGATGGCCGGAGCCCACAGATGGCTGTGCAGGCGAACGCCTCAGCCCTCCCAGAGCTGTATGTAAAGCTGATTACCCAAACTGGCTGGGAAAGAAGGGGGAGGTGGTGACCTCCCCATTCGGGTGAAGCCGGTGTGTGTTGTCTGGGCTCTAAACAATGGGGCGTCGATTCCCCGAGTTCTCGGGATGTATATAGGTGTTTGTGAACCGGACACAGGAGTTAGGGTGACCCCAGAAGTAGGATTAGGGAAGGAACTGGAGTGGCGTTTCCAGACTTAGGCTGAGCGGGAAAAGAACAGAAAAGCTTACTATTTCTGACCCCTCGTGCTTGCCGCATCTCCACCCCCCTGGCCACCCTCTTTATAATCTGGCCTTTCTTTTCATCTCCTGCAGGGTTTTTCTGTGGTACAGAATGCTTGATTAAGGAAATCTAATAAACGGAAGCAACTTTTCCCCGTAGGATAAATTTGCCCAAACTTACCATCCAAATCCTTTAAATATGCATCTAGTGCATAAAGATATTGTTTAGGAAATGTCAACTTAATGCATTCATTTTTTCTCAGCAGTGTCAGTGTATCTCTTGTGAAAACTTAGACTGAATTAAATTTGGAAAAATCTGTCTTAACACTTAACCAATTAGATATTGTGCCGCATTCTGTTACAGGATTAGATATTGTGATTTCCATTTCTCTCTGAATATATTTTCCAAATTTCTTATAAAACTGATTAAATTCCAAGCCAGTTGTTTTTGTTGATAAACTGCCACCAGCATTGCACAGCCTGTAAGCTGCATTTTAATTCAATAAATCTATACCTAGTGTGTTTACAGTCTGAAATGGACAAAAGTATAAATATCGAGGTGAACTAGTAAGAATTGTGCCGGATTAATTCCCATACTTGAACAGGAGACAGGAAAACCTCAGGCTGCTCCTGTTGTGGAGCTCTGGTTTCTAAACATAATAGGGAGTCAGGCTGTGGTGGCCTGGAGTCAGTGCCATTCCGGAAAGTATTTTTCCAGGTCCCTCCTGGTGTGACTAAAGTGCATTCACAACCTTATAATTATGCCTTGGACCAGAGTTGTCACTAAGCCTAACTATTTGAAGCACAAGGAAAATAAACAGCCATCTTTGGTCTTGCTGATATTTAACTGAGATAAAGATAAGATACAGGCCTTGACAAGTCCCTTTCAAGAAATGTCACCAGCTCTGTGAGGGTGTTCTGGTCTTTAAAAAAATGGTGTACTGGTTTTACAACTTTTTTTTTTTAAGATTTATTTATTTGTGCATACAGAACTGCACAAATAAATGCAGGGGTGGTGAGGGGCTTCACCAGAGACAGAGTGGGGGGCAGAATAGGCCGATTGACAAAGTACACTGCTGAGGGAGCAGCGGGTGGGTCAGGAGAGGTCTGCTGTGACATGTGGTCACCTCTGCCATGTGGTCACCTCCGCCAGGTGGTCACCTCCGGGACAGGTGGGGATCGAACTCATGTGGAAGTGGCTTTAGCTTCTTAGTGCTATGCTTTACCCAGCTGGGCGGGCTTGGTCTTACAGCTTTTTAAGAGAATTAGTAGCCAGGACAATGGGGTTGGAATGGTCACATCCAGCTGAAGCTCCCACTGGGGCCATCTTGCAAGATAAGAACTAGAGTTTCTGAATTATCTGCAAAATAGTCTGTGTCCACCTATTTAATTGAGATTATGGAGGTGAAATCTGTGTCAAGGCACTTAACTAGATGTTGGCAGAAGGTGGTTAATCTCTTTCTGAAAACAGTGCTGTGTGAACCCTGAGGGAGGACCCTCTTCCAGCAGTGGTGGTGTGGATGGCAAGGAAGGCTTATAAAATAATGAGGGAAAGGGCAATGAGGGGAAAAAGGCACTAAGAAAACAGCAGCTGAGTGAACTGAGTGTGGTAGGTGGATCAGCTGGGGAAGAACACTTTAAGCAGAGAGGGAGGGTGCTGGGAAGGCGCCCCCAGAGGTTGCCAAATGCCTTTTGTAGCAGAGTGTACCACACCTGTGGCACAGAGTTGGACTTTGAGGGATTAATAGGATAGCAGGGAAATGCTAGAGGTGAACACTGGGGGAATCTCTAGCAAAGAGGGGGGCAGTGAACCCCCATGTTTATTGCTGCTTTATTTATAATTGGAAAAACATGGAAACAACCCAAATGCCCAAAAGCAGATGACTGGATTAAGAAGATGTGGTACAGATACACAATGGAATATTACTCAGCAACCAAAAAAAAAAAAAAAGAAACATGTCTTTTGCAGCAACTTGGTGGACCAGGCGAGAAAATAATAAGAATAATGAACAGCCATATACATTTTGTGGGAGTGGAGTGGAGAATGAGAACAAAAATGGGGGTGGGGGGGTGCATGGGACTATGGTGAAGGCACATGGGTGTGACTTGGTGACACGGGGATTACAATTGAGATGAAAAAAAATGTACAAAATGATGTAAAAATAACTATTATATATATATATAAAAGAGGGGGGCAGTGAATGTGAAAAGTCAAATGGGAGACACATTGCTGAAGCAGAACCTGCAGAAATTGCTGATTAAATATCCATGTCGGGGTAACGAATAGGGTCAGAGATGACTTAAGTTTTTCTCATGGAAAATGCAGCAAAGCAAAACAATGAAAAATTACAGTCCCAAAACCTAGAGGTAATCAGTGTTAATATTTTGGTGTATCTTCTCAGTAGACACAGTTTGAATGCTTTCCATGCATTATTTTAATTTAATTTATATCTTTATGAAATTGATACTCAAAATCTATTTCATGTATTTTTTAAAAATCATTACCAATGTCAGTAACTCTCCTGAGGTCACAAACTCTACCAGGTGTGTCCCACTGTGATGCCCCCCTTTTTTTTTTCAAAGATTTATTTATTCATACAGAAGTGGGGTACAGGCCAGAGATGCGGAGGGCGAGAGAATTCACCAGAGACAGAGTGGGGAGCAGAACAGGCAGATCAACGAAGTACACTGCTGAGGGGAGCAGCGGGTGGGTCAGGAGAGGTCTGCCTAGCCGTGTGGATCTCCTCCAGGGCAGGCGGAGATCGAACTCATGCAGAAGTAGCTTAAGCTTCTTTGTGCTGTTCTTTAACCCGCTGCGCCACCAGGGAGGGCCTGTGATGCCCTTTTTAACCACTGCTTGTGTATGTGTTCATATGTGTACATGGATCACAGCATGCATTCTGGGTACCATATATACTGCAAATGTTTTCTGGGTCAATCTATAGTTGACCCTTCAGTAACATGGGCTTGAACTTCTTGGGTTCACTTACATATCAATTTTCTTGTAAGCAGTCAATACAGACTTATGGTATTGATAAATAAAGTATAGTACAATGAATACATTCTTTTCCTTATGAATTTCTTTTTTTTTAAGATTTATTTATTTATGCATACAAGAACTGTGGTACAGGCCAGAGGTACGGGAGGTAAGAGGATTCACCAGAGACAGAATGAGGAGCAGAACAGGCAGATGGACTGAAATATACTGCTGAGCAGCGGGTTAGACAGGTGGTCTGCTGTACCATGTGGGTCACCTTCCAGGCCGGGAATCAAACTGCTGAAGAGGTTGCAAATTGCTTCATAGTGCTATGCTTTAACCCCTTGCACCACCAGGGAGGACCCTGGTGAATTTCTTAACGTGTTCTTTTCTCTACCTTATATTTTTGTAAGAACACATGTGTGATGTAAATAATGTATAAAATAAGAGTTCACTGACTTCATGTTATCAGTAAAGCTTCCAGTACACAGCAGACTATTTAGTAGTTAAATTTGGGGGGAAATCAGAGCCATGTGATTTTCATCTGGGAGGTCAGCACCTCTCACCCCTGCATTGTTCAGTATACAGTTCAAGGGTCAACTGTGTATTATAGTGTCTTCAATAACTACACAGTGTGGCATTGCATGACAGCATTAGTGAACTTTTCAACCATGGTAATCAATCCATCATTGGAAGTGTGCTCCATTGCAGTAACAGGGGAGTCAGGAGAAGTGGCTGCTTCAGGGGAGGTGGTGGGTTGCCATTACATCAGGGGAAGGGTGTAGTAATGTCAGAATGTAGAGCTGGAGACAGGAAGAGAGATTTTGATCTGGACATAACCTCTTAAAGGTAGGTGTGAGTGGAACCTGGGGGAAGTGTGAGGGCAGGAAAGCTTATGTGGGTAGAGTCCCCAGGATGGTTGACACAGCTCTGTGAATCATGTTCTAGTAACTGCTCCATGAAATTCTGTCCTGTTCTGCTCCCCATCTCCTCCCCAAAAGGCCCACTTGGCAAGCTGGAAGGGCCCTATGGATGGTGATTGCTCATGTAGATTAGTTAGAGACCGGAAAAAGCCCTTTTGGACAAGGAGTTGCATTTGTTTTCTGTTTTAATTAAATATTAGACACTATTTTTGGAGCACATTCATGGGAGAACTGTGTTAGCTATATAAAGTGATGTGGCAGATACAGGGTGAATGAGAACTAGAT